TCAGGGTCCCACTCCAGGATCTCTGTCTCTCTCCTCCTCAGCTCTGACACAGATACCTGACATCCACATCCAGGGGCCCCTAGAATCTGGCCACCCCAAGAACATTACCTGTAGTGTGCTATGGGCCTGTAAGAGGGGGACACCCCCCACCTTCTCCTGGATCGGGGTCGCCCTCACCTCCAGGGGCTCCAAGACTCCCCACTCCTCCGTGCTCACCCTCACCCCGAGGCCCCAGGACCACGGCACCAACCTTACTTGTCGAGTGGCCTTCCCCGGAGCTGGTGTGAACACGGAGAGGACCATCCAGCTCAACGTGTCCTGTGAGTGCCAGGCCAGAACGCCAGGGTCCCTGAGGGCTGTAGGTGTTGGGGAGAGGGAGGCAGGGTCTAGAATCCTGGGGAGGAAGGAAAGAAAACACCCGACACCACACCTTTCTCATTTCTGAAGTTTCTGGGGGAAAAGGGCCAACATCCACCTTCCTGCCTCTGAAAACAATTATGTCTATCTGTCAGATGCACCCCAGAACCTGACCATCAGTGTCTTCCGAAGAGAAGGAACAGGTAGGTTACAACCTTTCCTCTTGGGCTGTGGTGCAAGCAGCGTCTGTCTCCACCCTTCAGAGCAGAGCTGGGTGGGAGAAAGGCTCAGATCAGGTGTGGGGACAGCAGAGGTGGGGAGCACCCCACTGGCTCCTCAGCGTACAAACTGGCTTCTCCCCACCACTGACCCTGCTCTCAAGGGTATGCATGACCTCCAAGCCTAATGGGGTGGCCGTCCCCAGTGCCCCAGCTATGTTCCCCTCCCAAACCTTGCCCCATTCCCCTCAGATCTGGACCCTGCCCACTCCTGCAATTCCCTTCCACATTATAATGTTATTGTTTAAAACAGTAAGCATAAAATGTATCTTGGTCTGCTCAGGCTGCCATAACAAAATACCACAGACTGAGGGGCTTAAGCATCAGACATTTATTCCTCATATTTCTGGAGGCAGGTCCAACGTCAAGGGTCCAGCCAATGTGGTTCCCGGTGAGAGATCACTCCCTGGTAAACAGCTGGTTTCTGGTGGTGTTTTCTCTCACACAACTAAGAGAGAGAGTTCTTTGGTATCTCTTCTTATAAGAGCACTAATCCAGGGACGCCTGGGTGGCTCAGTCTGTTAAGTGTCCGTCTGCCTTTGGCTCAGGTCATGATCCCAGGGTCCTGAGTTCGAGTCCTGAATCTGGCTCCTTGCTCAACGAGGAGTCTGCTTCTCCCTCTGCCTGTTGCTTCCCCTGCTTGTGTGCTCTCTCTCTCTCTGACAAATAAATAAATAAAATCTTAAAAAAAAAAAGAGCACTAATACCATCCCGAGGCCCCTATTCTCATGACCTCACCTAACCCTAATCACCTCCCAAAGGCCCATCTAAATACCTCCAAATACCACCATATTGGAGGTTAGGGCTTGGACATATGATCTTGAAGGGAACACAATCCAGTCCCCAGCAAAACTGAATAAGAATAAAATAACGTTCAGCCCCTATGTACCTCCCCTCTTGGTTATCTCTCCAAATATAATCTACGCATCTACGTTTAAAGACACACACATATGTATGCGTCTTTATTATTTTTTTAAGTTTTAATTCAAATTCCAGTTAGTGACCGTACAGTGCAATATTAGTTCCAAGTATACAATATCGTGATTCATCACTTCCATCCATCACCTGGTGCTCATCACAAGTGCCCTCCTCAGTCCCCTTTACCTGATTCCCCATTCCTCACTCCTTCCCTTCCAGTAACCATCAGTTTGTTCTGTATAGTTAAGAGTCTGTTTCTTGATTTCTCTCTCCCTCTCTCTTTTTTGCCTTTGCTTGTTTGTTTCGTTTCTTAAATTCCCCATATGCGTGAAATCACCTGGTATTTGTCTTTCTTCCAGCTGACTTATTTCACTTAGCTATCATTTTTTTAAAGATTTTATTTATTTATTTGACAGAGAGATAGAGAGAGAGAGAACAAGTAGGCAGAGACGCAGGCAGAGGGAGAGGGAGAAGCAGGCTCCCCGCTGAGCAGGGA